TAAAAACTGTCCTGATTGAGTGCACTGTTCGGCCGTGACTCCGCCCCCACACTACAGACTCCGCCTCCATCACACACGTCACGTTCCTTTGTTTTGAGGTTATTGAATGTTGGAAGCGCGTTTGCTTTTAGTAGCTAATAGATGTTTACAACGTTAACAAACTCTAATTCGGGGTTAGGATTTATTATTATTATTATTATTATTATTATTATTTACATATAAAAAGGTCAGTAGCGTGCATGAACTGAGACTGTACACATCTGTTGTGCATTCTTCCCTTTAAAGCTGTTTAAACAGGAATATATATATATAGAGAGAGAGAGAGAGAGAGAGAGAGAGAGAGAGTACTGTATTAAGCTCGACAAACGGTATGATTGTAGGATAGAGTGTGATTTGGGACACGGCCCTGTTTCTGAGCCGTGTGGATGGGTACCGCCCATTCCCTTGTCAGAGCCACGCCCCCTGGCGCTGCAGCCTGGCAGAGGAGGACGACACTGCGCTGCTGGTGGTGCTGTCAATACCAGCTGAGAAACAGCAACAACAACAACAACAACAACAACACGCACTGAAGAATCCCAAACGCCAGCCGTGAGTAGAGAGAAGAGTGTCGGCAGTGCAGTATCCAAGCTGTATGTGCTGGGCAGGAGCAGGAGCAGGAGCCTGGAGGAGCCTCCACAGTGTCTGGGAGTGTTGGGTTGTGTTGTGTTGTCTACACGCGCTTCAGTCGAGACGTTTCACCTACTTACTCCAGCTCGTGTCTTCCCAATGGGGCGTGAACATCATTCCAGATGTTTGGAGAACACCAGCAACTACTTCTCTGTTCCAGCTCCACGCGGGACGCCTGCTCTGGCCATCTTCTAACACTTTGTAGACTTTGTGAGCAGAAAGCTGTTTGACGAGAAAACACACACACACACACACACACACACACACACACACACACACACACACACACACACACACACACACACACACACACGCACACACGCTCCATGTGATTGGTCGCCCAGACGAAATCCAGCTGTTTTGGTTTGGAGTTGTGTTCGAGTCGAGTTGGGAAGCGGAGATGGAGGGAGCGGAGGACAAAGGGAGAGGGAGGGGGACGGAGAAGATCTTCTCGCTGTGGTATGTGGGCTGCAGCGCGCTGGACCGGCGCACCACGCTGCCCATGCTGCCATGGCTGGTGGCAGAAATCCGCCGGAAGAGCGAGTCCGGTCCGGTTCAGGCTCGGCCCGTCCAGCTCTCCCTCACCCCGCCGATGATCCGCTGCGTGCCCGCCAGCAGCAGCAGCGCGTCCGTCTTTATCTTCGAGCACAAGGCGCAGTGCATCTCGCGCTTCGTGCACAACAGCCATGACCTCGCCTACTTCGCCTACCTCATCCGCTCTCAGCCGGACGACCCGGAGGGCGAGATGGTCTGCCATGTGTTCAAGGCGTGCGACCCGGACCAGGTGCGTGCCCCCCCCCCTCCCCTCCCCCCTTCCTCAGAACTTCTGCCTAGATCAAAGTCTGTCCATTACTCAGTGTTTCATGACCGAATGAGCAGAGCTGATTCTTATTCATGCACAAATATGGCCGATGCACGTGCGACTGTAGCTTCCACATGGCAATACTCTAGAGAAGAAGATAAGCACAGATCAGCCAAGAGGTCCTCTGATGCTTCACTTATCATTCAGCTTACACACACACACACACACACACACACACACACACTTAAATTTAGGTTGAAAAAATGTTTTCACAATGTTTTACAGCATTTTTAATTCGGATAACGTGCTTGCTTCAAAAGATGAAGATATATACATAAAGAGCAAATGATGAGACAGCATTAACGGTAAAATGTTCCTCTATTGCTGTTAGTGAAACCTAAATGCTTTTTGATATCTTTGCTATTGGTGGCTTAGTGGTGAGCACGTTCTCACACCTCCAGGGTCGGGGGTTCGAGTCCCGCCTCTGCCCTGTGTGTGTGTGTGTGGAGTTTGCATGTTCTCCCCGTGCTGCGGGGGGTTTCCTCGGGGTACTCCGGTTTCCTCCCCCAGTCCAAACACATGCATGGTAGGTGGACTGACGTGTCTAAAGTGTCCGTAGTGTATGAACGTGTATGTGATTGTGCCCTGCGATGCGATGGACTGGCACCCTGACCAGGGTGTAACCCCGCCTTGTACCCGATGCTCCCTGGGATAGACTCCAGGTTCCCCCGTGACCCTGAAAAGGAGTAAACGGTATAGAAGATGGATGGATGGATATTTGCTATTGCGAAATCACTGAAATGTTCTGAAGTAATGCTCAGCATGGACACGCTGATCTAAAGTTATGCGTATGATTCTACAAGTTAAAACGAAACCAGAAACCTGTTTTTTCTTTTTTTTGCATTAGTGCACTTTAAAAGCATGTTTAAAAAAAAAAAAATATATATATATATATATATAAACATGATAAAGCTTCAGTGAAATGAGAACGTGTTTTCTCTGAAAAGCACATGGCCCTTGCGACGCCTCTTTGACTAGCAGTGGGAAAAACAACCAAAAAGCAAACTGTCAGTGGCACCGTTTATTGAGTAGGCCAGGCCTCCTGACAGTTTAACGAGGAGCGCACAAATCTCTTCTGTCACACGGCGGTTGTCTCTAGATACGAGCGGGCGTCTGTGTCCAGAGAAATGAATTATAAGTCTGCGACCTGTTACGTCATCGACTGTCGTCCATATGAGTGTTAACAGTCTGTGCTAGGCTCACATGCAGTGTACCTGTGGTGCAAAACAGAAGTGTGTGTGTGTGTGTGTGTGTGTGTGTGTGTGTGTGTGTGCAGGGCACCCTCCCCACACATACACATACACACTCATGATCTGATTGCTAGTTTAGTCATTAGGCCGGTCATGTCCGCTAGCCTTTTGAGCAGTGAGGCTACTCTGCACCACATGGTTCGAAATGAACAGTGTGTCTGTGTTTGTATGAATGAACACATTTGGTGGGCGAATATGAGCCGGGAGATTCTGTTTCTGGAAGAAAAAAAAAAAAAAAGCATCATGTTAGTGCATGCAGCACTCAACTCAACTCATGGTCATGTCGTTTTGCAAGAAAAACTGGCTGGATAACACCGTGTGCCAGATAGAGAGCTAGGAATTTCCCTGTTCTTAGCCACTTGTGGACATACGGGCCAGGCAAAAGCTGTTTGTTTGAAAACTCTTCAACCGGGTTTCAAGAACACCTTGAAAGTGCTACAGTTGAGACTGTCTAATCTAACACTGGTCTGAAGAAACCTCATGGTTCTGATCTAAAGAACATGATGATCTCCCAAAAGCAGCGCGTTTGAGCTGGAAAGAGACAGCTCAGCTTTCCTTTCTGCCGTGCGAACTGATGGGAACGATCTGATAAGCTGAAGGAGTCAGCAACGCATGGCCGATATCTGAACTGTCTGATCGCTGTGTCCTGTTCCTCCTTTTCTGAAATCTTTTAAGATGAGCCAGAGGAGTTCGCCGCTTGAGCAAACTCAGTCATTTTGATATGGAGTTTGATATGAAGAACGAGGCCTATTCTATCCCTAGCTCCATCCATCCATCCATCCATCCATCCATCTTCTACCGCTTACTCCTTCTTCAGGTTCACGGGGGAACCTGGAGTCAATCCCAGGGAGCATCCGTAGTTCCTGGGATGGTTATGAACATGGCATTTTAGACCCTGCTCACATCTGGTACTCGCATCCGTCTCAAACGATCGGATCGCAGGAGCTCAGCCGAGACACGTAGGTGTTCACGCGTGGCATTACGAATGCTCCTGTGACTCGCTTGTGTTCAGATTCCGAACACCGCTTCCACCGGAGATACACACAGACTGTGAAAGTATTGCTTCTTTTCTGTTTCGCGTGTCTGACTTGCTAGGTGACATGCTAGCTCTGGAATTAGCCACAAAAGGTCACTAGGCATGGAAGCTTTCACCAAGACGACTAAGCAGACCACACTATTTTACAGAATGGGAGAAATCTGAACTTTCTTGAGGGGGTTGCAAATGTTACATAAATCATGATTTGACCAAATCATATTTCAGATGTTTTTATCCTACATGTCAATAATGGACCACTAAACACTCCTGGGCCGCCCAACCATTCCTGGGCTCGGACAGCTTCTCCGGTTCTCCCCCGTGACAGCAGGTCTGAGTAAATTTAAGCTAGCCTCATCGCCTCAGAGTAGACCCGACGCTCACTTTCTTGCATGTTGGACGATATAATCATATAGACCACCCACTATGCTATTGATGAAATTACGAATATATGTAATCACGGTTCTTTAGCAAGAGTAAAAAAAAAAAAGCACATCTTCACTACATTTATCCAGTTTTCACATTCAATTCTGTCCTTATCTCTGAACAAGAGCTGGAACAATTCTATCGGTCACACTACTGTAAACGTGTTTACGGACTCATTTAAAGCGCTTTATTGCACTGAGCGGTTGAAGAGGAGGAAGCAGGACACTCAATACTCAAATAAAAGTGCACTGTGGTAACTGTGATACGTCGGTACAATAGATCAGATCGTGCTCTCTACTGTTGGTATTCTTCTGACAGAATGGAGCTGCACTGGGAATTTGCACACATCAGGTCCCATGTGCCTTGAGTCGATCGTCCGCATCAAACAGCCTCGGTAATGCCGCAGTTGGAAACGAGGCAGGCTTCTTTGAAACAGACTAATAAATGCAAATGATTAAGAATAACACTGGCCGAAATACGCTTGTGCTTGTGCCAGTGATCTATGTATAGGAGACAGAGTGCGGCTGGTTTCCATAAATAGCCTGTTGGTTGAGCTTTCTGTCCATCTGAGTCATGTCTACACAATTACCCTTAGCATGGATTTCTGTCTGGCTGGGAACTGTGTACAGCCCAGAAACATGAGACACAGACTACAATGAGCAGCAAACCACCGAATTGTGAAACGTGGCACACTGTACAATTTTTGGCACACTGTACACTGTAAAGAATTGGCACACTGTACAATTTTTTTTTAACTAAGGGCGGACGGTGGATTAGTGGTTAACACGTTCGCCTCACACCTCCAGGGTCGGGGGTTCGATTCCCCTGCTAACCGGGTTTCCTCCCCCAGTCCAAAGACATGCATGGTAGGCTGGTTGGCGTGTCTAAAGTGTCCGTAGTGTATGAATGGGTGTGTGAGTGTGTGTGTGTGATTGTGCCCTGTGATGTATTGGCACCCTGTTCCAGGGTGTACCCCGCCTTGTGCCCCATGCTCCCTGGGATAGGCTCCAGGTTCCCCGTAACCCTGGAAATGATTAAGCGGTATAGAAGATGGATGGATGGAGTTAAAAGAGAGAGAGAAGATTAAACAGTGTAGGAGATGGATGGATAAACTATACTGATGCATGAAGGGTTTAAGTAGCCTGTTATAAAACTTAAATGGGGAGAGAAATCAGTCTGTCAGATGCTCCTGAATAGTGTCAAACAATACATGGGAGCATCCACCTGGCATCTAATTGGCACCATAAGAGTATTTTACCTTATGGTCCACATTTCATGTAAACCTCAGTGTATATAACTAACGTAGAAGTCCGAAATATATCTGAAGTACAGTTTGGATCTTGACAATGCCTCAGCCTTCCGTGAACTGCGTAGATAATTACAGGTGTTTGTTCACATAAACAGAATAAGTAGTTCCTGTGCTCCTCGAAATGTTTTCAACCGCCCATGACATCGCCCGAGCGGCAATTCAGAAAGCCGTATGTGTCCTGGATGAAGCTCGTGCTGACCCCTGGATTGGTACTGTTGCATGATGGGGAAGACCTAATGAATCTGTTGGGACTTTCCAATGACTAACTAGGGAGAAGATTGGGCAAAACAATCAATCAGACAATGCCTTCATGTAGGACTTGGAAGTGTGACGTGACAATGATAGATTTCTATACGATTTTGCATTCAGGTTTACATGCAACGTGGAACACACATTCCCCTTTGAAATCTTCCACTGAGCTGTATTGTCAGAGATTTGCTTTAAACCTTCATGTAATATGTGGAAACAAGCCATCTGTCAGTTAAATATGAGCAGCTACGCCCTTTCGCTTGCGCTCACACGTCAGTTTCTGTGAGAGTTCTGACATGTTCTATGTTGGTCTTCAGCAGGTTTTTTCTTGGATTTCAAGTGAAGCCTCCATGGAACGTTGTATTTAGGCCACGTTTTGCTTGTTTTCCTCCTCTGAACGATATGCGTAGCCTGGAATATTCTTGCCGGGGTGTGGTTTAATGGTTATCAGCTCTTGCATCGCATGGCCTTTAACACGGCTCTGTAGCTCAAGAGGTTGTCATGGCTACGCTACTGAAAGGCATAATATACCCTTTAATCAAACGTGACACTTTACCTTCAACGTACGCAGCTGAATGTTATTTTATGAAGTTGAATACATTTGGCAAACAAGCCCACAGCCTGTTATCTCCATGTGTGTGTACGGCGTGGGGTTGTGTTTGGTTTACTCTCGATTGCCGCCTTGAGCAAGTAATCCATTTGACCTTGGTGTTGACCGTAGCTCCGGTGTTTCTCAGCTCCAGGCGCTTCATGTTCATTACAGTACGAATGTTTTGTCGGACATTTCTCCCACCGCCGAATTCATTTAGTGCTTGAAATCACAGATCGTCGTTTATTCCTATTTAATGACGTGTGATTACTTACCCGTCACTGGTTTTGTTATATATAGGACACCGCTCAGACTGGACGTCCCACATATTGATCGTTATTAGGACTGTAAAATGGACGTCTGCACCCTGTGCGTGAAGGCTGCTCTGGTGTCTGGTGCCGGTAGCATTTTATTTTTGTCACCTCCACGTCTAGACGGCGCTTGGCTCGGTTCAGTCTCCAGAGCGCTGTTTGTGTTTTCCGCTTGAGTCACGTCTGGTCGATGTAAATCAGATTCGTTTGTTTGCAAACCTGGTATGTGCTTCATGTCGGTAGAAGACAGAGCTCGTTGGAAGACGGCTGGATGAGACCGTTATCCCTGTCACTTACTACACCGCTCCAGTCTTCTTTACGCTGTCTTTATGGAAAAATCTACCTTGGCTGCCTGCTCTCAGGCTAACGTGACTGTTGCATGCCTTCTTAACTGTTTGGCAACCTCGACAAAGGGCAATATATCACTGAGCCAAGATTATTCATTTTTGACTTTAGCTTTTAGATTAGCTTCAGGTTCCAGAATTCAGTTAGTTTAATCAAGATTGTCAGCTTCATCACCCAGGGTGTGAATACGGTCAGCCTGACGCGAGGTTGGTTTTATTGGTTTTTTTTCATTTTTTTTATTTTATTTTAAATATCGTGATTTAATTTGGGCACGGTCATTCTTTATTCATTAACTCTCAACGACTGGCTTTACTGAGCACTGAGAGGCACGGTGAGTATTTGTTTGAAACACATTTGGTTGTATTAGATGGTAAAACAGTCGAGCTCCAGCCCGTTACACATTGATGATAGATTAAAGGGAAAACCAGAGGCCCTGTTATGACGCGAGAACATTTTGTCGGCACGGCTCGTCCTGTTAGATGGAAGGACACTGAAGGTCAGTACAAAGTTATTCTGACTGATCGCCTTTAAGCTACGAGGAAACGTTCCTATCTTGATGGGAGTGATCTCAACAATCACCCACGATCCTCATCAAGACATGTTCGGAATAATTCAGTTTATCCTTTATGTAGTACACCTCCAGAGAATCCGTGACAGAACGGTGACCGATTTGAAAGCTAGTGTAGCGGTCCAACACCTTACTGAAACACTTTCTGTTCAATTTATTCCAGTTCAATTTGATTTGTATAGCGCTTTTTACAATAGACACTGTCTCAAAGCAGCTTTACAGAAATATCAACACGGTATACGGATATTAAAGGTGTGAATTTATCCCAACTGAGCAAGCCACTGAGTGGCGACGGTGGTGAGGAAAAACGCCCTAAGATGTTTTAAGAGGAAGAAACCTTGAGAGGAACCCGACTCAGAAGGGAACCCATCGTCATCTGGGTAACAACAGATAGTGTTGACTTATATGAAGTCTGTTTGGCCTTAGGAGCAGCCGTAGTCATAGCAGTCAGAAAGGATCTGGATCTCTAGTATCTCCATAAAATCGTGTGTGGTTCCCGATTGAATTTGTCACCTATACCTGTATGCAAATGCTCCAGTGTTGCTCCGGTCACTCTGGAGGCAGATGACCCTGATCTCACCCTGTGCCTCAGCACCGAAATTGCATGTTGTGGTATATTAACGGAAATTTCTCCCGGCTTGACCTTTATCCGCTATGAAACGTGAACGCTGTTCTGTATCCCCAGGTGTCCGAGGTCATCAGCAGCATCCGGCAGACCTCCAAAAGTGCACTCAAAGAGGAAAACAAACCCAAGCAGGAGGCTGAGGAGTCCTTTTACAACTCGCAGAAGTTTGAGGTGCTTTACTGTGGCAAGGTGACCGTGAACCACAAAAAAGCATCCTCCACCCTGATCGACGACTGCATCGACCTGTTTCGGGAGCACGAGTCCGAGCGCAGACGTCTGCGGCTCCTGAACGGCCAGCGCTCTGTCGAGACCCCGGTGGACTTCAGCATGGGAGACGACCCGCTCAACGCGTCGCTGTCTGAAGCCGCGCTCACGGAGATAAACGAGAAAGCAGGCAGTGCGCGCGGCGCCTTCCCCGAGTGCATCCAGGAGGACTCGGGCTTTGAGCAGCAGGAGTTCGAATCGCTGCAGCAGCTTGGCAGGTGGCTTACAGAAGATCCCTAGAGAAACTGGAGCCAAAGTGCAAACACGTCGGAGACATGCTAGTGCACCGAACAACGTCCAGCCCTCTGATGCAGACAAGAACCGCACCATGTTGTTTCAGGTATTACTGCACACATTCACATCCTGAATATATATATATATATATATATATACACACACACACACACACACAACGCACATCTGTTCAGGGCATACAGGTCTCTTTGTACAACTCTGTCTCAATTCTGTCGAATATTATAAATGTGTACTCTGTGGAAATCTTTTTAAATTCTCTAATCTCGTGGCGCAGAATTTTCCGAACGTTCTGAACTGCTTGTTACTTTCTCACCTCAGCGACGGCATCTGGAACAAATCAAGCCTCTATTAAATCGCTCTGAACTGATGAATCTGCCAGTTACAAAATCCTCCCCTCGTTTTAGAGCCCCATGTTCGAAAAATTAAAGCTTCTGTATGCACATGGTGATTGTGACATCAGTAGAATTACGGACTGAACATGGCTCCAGAGTGATTATTGTGCACGCCAGGCAAGCAGGCGCTGAACCGGCCTTTAAATGGCCACCCAAGGCTAAACATTTCTCACCGAGAGCTCAGGGCTGTTCCTCTGAAAATCAGCTCAGAGAAATTGTTTGCGTCTGTTACATGACCTTGTTGATGTGTGTGTGTGTGTGTGTGTGTGTGTGTGTGGTGTGTGGGTGTGTTTTCACTCCCATAAAAACCAGCGGGCCCATCACAAGATGAGATCAGAAGCTGCCGTGTTCATATTTTAATTTCAAGGAAAGGTCACTTATTGTTTTTGTTTTGTGTGTGTGTGTGTGTGTGTGTGTGTGTGTGTGCGTGTCTTTAGGTGGGACGGTTCGAGGTGAATCTCATCAGCCCCGACAGCAAGACAGTAGTGCTGGAGAAGAATTTCAAAGATATCTCGTTTTGCTCCCAGGTTTGTAGCCTGGGATTAGTTTACTCTCGGGTTGATCTGATCCCCAGCTCAGGTTCAACGTCAAGCCGCGTTCCCAGCGTATGGGTTTTACCCCACAGCGTTGGAGGTAGCTGTTTATAGCGGCTTGACTCCAGGCTTGTGACCTGTCAATGTTTAAGGTTTTAAAAAAGAAAAATGTCTATTAAATTCTCGAAACCTTTTAGCACATCCATCTCTATTACGCAGGTTTCACCCATCGCACTGAACCTGTACTGTGCAGGGGTTGGTTTGAAAGGTTTTCCTTTGTGTATGCATGCATAGTAATGCTCGTTGGAAGTTGTTTACATAACATGCGGTACACGCAGGGAGTGAAGCAGACGGACCACTTTGGGTTCATCTGTCGTGATGTATTGGAGTCGGGG